AGCTGGCAACTTATCACACTGACCACAAATAAGATACTCGCAATAATTTATGTCGACGCACGCAGAGATGCGCAGGCGAAACTGGGCCCCCACTCTTCAAGGAAATGGCCCAACTCTTACTAATTGTGTAACCTACACGAATTTTTATACTGTACAAACTACTTCATATCAATAATTGAAGCAAAAAAGAAGGTTACTAACATCCCTCCACAATTCAGGTAACAATTTAATGACAGCAATAGGGACCTTATTTCTAGGTACTTCAGAGCTTCAGATAATCCTCTGTATTGAAATAATCCATTAGACTAAGGCGACAAACAAGTGAAGATTAATTGATTATTGTAAAAAAAAGTCTTAGGATAAAAGCTGATATACATTGTAATTTAGGTAAGTTTATTTAAATTTATTTTATTTAACTTAGGGAAAAATTAACACTTATTTGTTATTAAGGGTATATTTTTTAACTACTTCATGGACATAATCTCAAATGTAGATAAAATCTGCAAGAAAACTGTACTGTTGGGGCCGTATTGAAATATACATTAGTTTACCTAAACAATAGCAGTAATATTATGATTTATGAACCAAATACAAGAAAAATGGATATTTTTGAGGGGTGGTCCTTAAAAGATGCATGACCATACTGACATTTTACCCTGTAATTAAACACCATAGGTAATACAACCCTCTGTATCTCAAGGTACCTTGTAGACCAATCAAATTAAGCAAAAATCAGGCCCACTTTCACGATAATTTCCAACCATTCCCGACCAATATCATTCGATTCAGTATGTTTTTGAATTCTCATGGTCAATTTTGCCGTACATTATATGAGCAAGAATTTAATTTATAAACAATTAAAGTTGTGAAAATGATGAAAATCGATGTTTCTGAATGTTCAACTTCAAACGCTGCGAAAACGGCAACAGATAGAGAAAAATTGCTCAGAACAATTTTTATAGAGCGTTCAATTCCCTTCAAAAAAGTCCGCGACGGCATATCTCTACGATGAATAGTTAAGGCGTTACAATGAGTTAAATGTTTATTATTATAGATTTATTGGGGTCAAAATAAAATAAGAAGGTTTAGTGCCATATCCCCAAAAAAACAACTATGCAGCTACGGACACGTGTTTCGGAGTTATTGCCCCTCATCAGCGTACCGTAGCGAAATAATTGGATCTAGGATGGGATAGATCAGGAACAAGAACTAAAATAAAGCTGGAAAGTACAGTACACAGTACTCAATTAGTGCATTCATGTTCCCATGTGCCACAATTGGGGCCTCAATGATCACAGTCAACACACAGAGCTCTATGTGTACTGCCCGTTTCCACCTGGCAAATACAAACAAAATAATATAGATTTATTGGGGTCAAAATAAAATAAGAAGGTTTAGTGCCATATCCCCAAAAAAACAACTTAGATCCTAGATCCAATTCTTTAGCTACGCTACGCTGATGAGGGGCAATAACTCCGAAACACGTGTCCGTAGCTGCATAGTTGTTTTTTTGGGGATATGGCACTCAAACCTTCTTATGTTCATTATTTTTCTACTACGTACTGGTCAGCTGTATACGCAACGCGTATCCACTTTTTTCCACATGAGAAACAATTTTCTTCGAAATTAAATTGCGGCACACTTCAACGACGTGGGTATCGCTCTTTTTGGAATTCCAGAGCCAGGTTTCAAATTATCTTTTGAGGAATACGCTTTTCTACACTTATCATGAACAGTAACTTCATTAGCATTTTCTATTTGATTCCATTTCTTATCCTCACGTTTCTTGCTGTTTTCTATAAACGATTCGATTCCCTTTTGTTTTACTGTTACAGTCTTGCCCATTTGCAGAGTTCCTTCACATATAAAACAATTTTCTTCTAGCGACATTTTTGATCGGTTTATTTTATATTAATCAACAGCACAACCACAATGATAATGTAAAAATTGCTCACAACCAGTACACTGTATAACTGCGACGACTATTAGCATCAAACTGAACAGCTCATAACTTAATAATAATTTATCTTATAACTTAATAATAATTTTCCAGGTCTTTGAGTATGCATAAAAGTATATAATAATTATATCTAGACCAAAAAAAGTGATAAATACATTTGCTAACGTTGTAAAAATAAGAAAATTATGAAAGATTTACAGCAAGTCTACTTTCAAATGTTCTGCGCAGGCGGCCATTACGCGGCATACGAGTCTGTTGATCGCACATGCGCGTTACTTGTACAGCTGACTGATATACAGCAGAAAAATAATAAATATTTAACTCATGGTAACGCCTTAACTATTCATCGTAGAGATATACCGTCGCGGACTTTTTTGAAGGGGAATTTAACGCTCTATAAAAAATGTTCTGAGCAATTTATCTCTATCTGTTGCCGTTTTCGCAGCGTTTGAAGTTGAACATTCAGAAACATCGATTTTCATCATTTTCACAACTTTAATTGTTTATAAATTAAATTCTTGCTCCAATAACGTACGGCAAAATTGACCATGAGAATTCAAAAACATACTGAATCGAATGGTATTGGTCGGGAATGGTTGGAAATAATCGTTTTGAAAAACCCTTAATTTTACTGGTCTATTGTGCACATTTAAAAACAATGGAATTATGTAAATTATAAAAATTAAAGATTAAAAACTTACCATTCTGGTAAAAGAACTGTACTAGTAGGAAGGGGTGGTTGTGATACTTCTTTTTCTTCTAACTTGCTCTTCCTGTAACAAAAGAGAAACAAGTTTAATATGCATTACAAATTAATTTCATTAAAATAATATCCGCACACTTTAAGGTGATTAGACTGAGTACAAATTAAATGATCGGAATTTTAATTTTATAGACAGTGCACTTTTCTAGTATTGTATTTCAAACGGTCAGTATTATAATATACGGTCAGTGAAAAGTTAAATGGTCGGTAAAATAAAAAACGGTCAATAAAATTAATAATCGGTTAGTAAAATTAATGAACCATCAGTAAAATTAATGAACGATCAGTAAAATTAATGAACAAACAGTAAAATTAAGAACGGTCAATAAAATTAATGAACGATCAGTAAAATTAATGAACGATCAGTAAAATTAATGAACGATCCGTAAAATTAAGAACGGTCAATAAAATTAATGAACGGTCAGTAAAATCGAAAAATTTCCCTTTCATTCCCCTTAAGCCCTTCAACACCAGTTATATTTTTATGAGAGCATGCTCAAGTACCAGAAATGTTGCTCGCAAATCTCGTTTAATTTAGTAAGAATCTTATGCATTGTTATTATTGCATAAATTTTTTTTCATGAAAAAAAAACTGCAGTTACATTTTAATATCCATTACCGTGTAACGAGAGGTTTTGCCCTCGCTATTTTAATTAACTTATTTTACTTTAATGAAACAACAAAATAAAAAACAAATATATATATATTCGTAATTTACCATACAAGAGGCTCATTCAGGGCGTGGTAAGCAAATAATAAACTATACACAATCTTCAAAATTAAAACTACGGAAATTCTTAATTAAGCTCACTTAATGAGTTTGTTTAGGGCGCCACCCGCATTTCTTTTTAGTTTAACTGGTTATACAAAGTTCTAAAAAGTTACACGCACTAGTGCCGTCGAAAGGGGAAAAGAAAGGTTACTTTTCATCGAATTGTCTCGCACAGCTCAGTAGCTAAAGAAAAAAGTCTAGAGGGCTTTCTCCACCTCTAGTTCATAGACAGGCAAATCAGCCCATTGATGCAAATTTATTTTTCAAATTTCCAGCTCGCCTTCAAAGCGGAATCTGGCTGTTTATTACTTAATAGGTACGTATTTGAACAATAATTGGAAGGAAGATAACCTTACCAGCTCACATATATTTCTTAGGTTACATACTTCTTAACTTATCAACCATAACTCCTCAGCCAGACAAAATCTCAAACGTAGTGCTCGTAAAGGCAACGTACACACAACTCACTGCATGGAAGCACTAGCCTTGTCTCGTACCGTCTCAACGTAACAAGGTACAGGAACATAAAAAAAGGTAAGGTAACGTATTCTTATATAGCAGGACAACACCACAGGTCCAGACCGTCGTCTTCGGCCGTGGCTCAGCAGCCTTGACTCCCTTCAAAAACCTAACCGTCCTAGTACCAGCGTTCCCCCTTGTCCCCACATACCGCGGTGTTTTCGCTGGTGCACTAAAGGTCCAGTGGTCGCTTGGATTATATCTAGGATTTACAATTTATTTAAATCGGTTCTAGAATTTTTAAGGTTGACCTCAAACCAATTTATGCAATTAGCATTAATGTGACGCAAGTTAATTATATCTAAAAAATGGACCGTTACAACCGGTGAATCCACACGTGGATATACATAGGATAAAAGGATATTAACATACCTAAAATTGTCGGAATTCCCAGAGCTTATTTCACACCAGAATATCAGCTTTTGGATCAAGGAATTATGGCAGATGAACCATACCTCAAACATGGTCATACCATGCATGTTTAAATTAGGTTTGTTTGTAGAGCAGTTTCCAACCGTTTGAGGCTGTCAGAAGCGTGCGCACATTGTAGAGATGTGCTTGTTCAATCAGAACGTTTGCTAATGCAGAGCTCCCGTTATAATCACATCTCTATAGTCATGAAACTATCACAAATCATCTCTACGAACAAACCTAATATTAAATTAAACACCACAAGTAATACAACCCCCTGTATCACTAAGGACCAAGGTACCTTGTTGGAGAAGGACAGTTAGAGACAAGGACACACCCAATAACGATACTAACAATTTTATAGAAAAAATCATCTGACCGGGGATCAACCCGAACAAATCATCTCTACGAACAAACCTATTATTAAATTAAACACCACAGGTAATACAACCCCTGTATCACTGAAGGTATCTCAAGGTACCTTATGTGGGAGAAGGCTACATGTTAGAGACAATGGACACACACCCAATAACCGAGTACGCTAGGATTAATTTCTGGCTTAGAAAAAAATCCTATCTCTTCGACCGGGGATCGAACCCGAGACTTCAGGGTGAGATGCAAGTGTCTTTACCATTCAACCACGAAGGCACACAACAGTAAAAGTATATAACAGTGCATTTTTTAGAAAATATCCATATATGGATATCACGGTATGCAAAAGCACCTGCAAATATCCACACGTGGATACTTTGGTGCTGAAGGGGTTAAATTTCCTTGTAGTAAAGTAGTAAAATGGCCTTTTTTGTAATTTTGAATATAACACTTTTTGGTTAACATTTGCAGATTTCTTACCAGTTATTGCATATTGACCATTTATTAAATTTTACTGCCCATTATAATAAAAGCATTGACCATAGAAATATTGGTCAAATAGTTATTTTACTGACCGAAAATCCCATTTTAACTGATAAAATTTTATAAATATACTGAGCCTTTTGTAAACAATAAATACTGATCACTGATCAGTTTATTACTACTCGACTAAAATTGCTATTTTAGTGAATTTATGCATCTAATAGCTTTATCCTCAAACCAACGCGATATAGCGGGACCGGGAACGGAAGCGAACTTGACGCGGGATGAATAGTATATTGTATAACGAGCACGGAATGGTACTCATTTTTTACCAGTATGAGGTTTGCTTCATAAGAGTAAAGCAGTGGGCCTTCTGCGCGAGTTATACACTATACTTTTTCTACGACTAAGTTTGTTATGCCTTTAAATTATTATTAACAATATTAAATTAACGTCATTATAACAATTATTAAGTATAATTATTGTTTGTGAATTATTGCATGTTTTTTCAATGGTTTAACTGTATGTTTTCTAATTTTCTCGTTCTTGAACTCGATGGTATGTTTGCTGAGTTTTTGTTTTCGACTAAATTTAAAATTGGTTAACTACGTCGTATTTATTTTTCAACGAGTCATCGATGTATCATCCTTCGGCGACTGCGGTCGATTACCACCCACCTTTTTAATGAGGTAATGTCATCAACGAGGATTGTCGCAGAAGATCGGCGAAAACAGTGGCCAGTATATAATTCCGGGTTTGGAAGTTTTAAATGTGCAGCAATTTGTTTTCCCATATTTCCCAATTTATTTATACCCACTTTCTGGACGGTGCATTTTCCATTCTGATAGTTCAGAAAGAAATAGGAGTCGTTAAGATTTTGTGGACGAAGATCCGCATATTTTTTAAAAAATTTCATAAAAATGGCCGGTTATAGTGAATTGTCTAGTAGTTTTTGTTTTTGTGTGAGGTATTTTAACTAGCACTGCTGAACCCAAATCCTTAAAATCAGTGACCTTCATTTTATGCAACTCTTGCCTGCGGCAAGCACCCATGATTCCCATAATTAGTACAACCTGCAAAAAAATATATATATAAATCCAGTATTCGGCTATATTCATAACATACCTTTGTTAAAAGATATTGTTTATCTGGTGCTTCTTTAATGAATTTGTTAATTTCGAGTGATGTGAACATTTTTGATTTTGTTGGTCGAAAACCGTCTGCGTTTTGCTTCAAAAATGCTCTCAATTTTGTGTAGTTTGTTATATTCACACTGTTATTAATGTTGAGAGTCGCTCTTAACATCGAATATTTTGACCATAAAGTGGAAGCTTTAAATTTCTTTGAAATTTCGCCAAAATAATCCATTAGAACATTTTCGGAAAATGAATTTGTGTTGTGCTTCTCTCGCCAATCCATGAATAACTTGTATGTATTTGTATATTTCTCCTTCGATATTTCTGGTATTAAAGTAACCTTTGCAGCTTTGACGATGTCGGGTGATGTTAATTCTAGTTCTCTTTCGCTGATATTTTCCATATTTTGTTTAATATTAAATCGCGTTTTTATCTTTTTATAAAAAACTTCTGACGACTCGGTTTTGTTTGTATTTTACTTTATGTTGCTATAGCAGTCCTCTCACAGCTTTTTTGATTTAATTGTACCTGATTTACAATGAATTGATTGTGATTTTGTTATAATCGAGTTGTCATATCAACCCGTGCGAAATGTAAATGCGTATACAATGTTTTAGCTAGATTTACTAAGCACATAATGAGAAGATTTCTTACAATTAGTAGAAGAATTTGTATGTCATGTCATAAACAATAGAGGCCAACTTTAATACAGGAGCAGAGTGTACAGTAAATGTATTTTAGGGGTCTAATATATTCACTCTATATTTTACAACTAAAAATCGATTATTAACCAGTACCAAATAACACAAAACTTTAAAATTACTTAAAAACAGATTAAAATGACAGACGTCGTCTTACAGAATACAATTTGCTATCAAGACGGTGATAGATCGGGCATCGATCGGGTTTCTTCGTGTTGCGTTCATGATTCTGACCAATAGGAATAAAACCAGCCATAATATTTACGTACGTCGCGTATCAAGCTGGCGAAGAAAGAAGACGAAGACAGAAGAGCGCCAGAAGAGGCCCTAGCCAGCAGGGTTCATCAGCCAGGACCCAGGGAGGTTGACCGAAATCTTCGGCACCGCTCACATTTGTGAGTGGGGCCGTTCGTAAAGTAAGTTAACCCGCCCTGCACGAGGCCGGTCCAGGTCTACAGCGATGACTAGGGTAAAAAGGCAATAGTCCTGCCTGGCCCCCTAGCATCCGAGACCGTCATCATGCCAAATGGATATTGGCGCGGGGGCGTCGCGTAGGATGTAGATGAATCGGACATCTTTTTATGTTTTGTTACTCATCTTCTAGTATTATTAATCTGGAGGCTGAGACATATGAACATCTATATCCCAAGTTATGTTCACTATCAGGCAGTTAATTTTATCCTCATACGCTCAGATCGCGCTCGCTCGCAAGTAAATAGTTATCTCGGTGCATTACGCTCTTAAAAATGTTTTATCTAATAAAAAAATTCCAAAAACGCAGAAATAATATATGGCATTTTCTTATCAAAAAAATTATATTAAAAATTGTTCATAATTATAACACTGGCGTATTTTTCCAGAAAACTTGACGCGTGTCAGTTTTAATCATCTCAGAAAGTGGAGATCATTAAAATACAGTTTTAATCATCTCCAGGTGATGTCAACTTTGTTAGCGAAACGCACGTCAAGTGAAGTATATGGTGTATTGTGGAAAACTACGTCAATATTATCTTCACATCACAGGTTCCAATCTACTTCTAGATGTTCTGAATCATCCCAAATGGCCTGATTCAAAATTTGGATAAAAACAAAAAAATAAAAAATTTAAAATGTTGCTGTTTTATTAACAATTATCAAAAAATGCAAATCAAATTCTGAAATAATAATAAAAACATATATATATATATATATACATATACATATATATATATATATATATATATATATATATATATATAGAGAAGGAGTCCGTCACGGGTTTAATTACGAACAGTAAAAAAAATGAATAATTATCGGGTATGCCCGCATAAAGAAAAATAGCAAGGTGTAAAGAATGCAAATTGCAAATGGCAGAAAGATGCAAACCGTGGACACGTGTTTCAGACTAATTGGTCTTCATCAGCACGGTGTAGCTGAGTTAAAATGATGGACAAAACTCAGAAAAGACACAAAAGGAAAACCACTGACAGGGAGCCAGTCGCACCTTTGTGGCTTCCACTTGGATGACTCCGGTATGGGAGCGACGTCCAAGTATCGCAACGCGGCAACTATAGCTACCTACGTGGAATTCTGGACCCAGGAAATGAATACGTACAGAGAAGGAGTTCGTCGCGGGTTTAATTACGAACAGTAAAAAAATGAATAATTATCGGGTATGCCCGCATAAAGAAAAATAGCAAGGTGTAAAGAATGCAAATTGCAAATGGCAGAAAGATGCACGGTGTAGCTGATATATATATATATATGCGTGGGCGCTACATAACTTTGTTATTTTAAATGGAACACCCTGTCTATTGAATTTTTGAATTCCTTGGTTAATATTAGGTAGAGTTTATTAAATGTACATGGTGTTTAAATCTTACCGTTTTCGAGATATTCAGTTGTTTTTGAAAAAAATCACGATTTCAGCTCTCTAAATGAGGCTAGATAGCATCTAAACCGTAAGAGTTAGAAACGTGCAGTTTTCACAGTTCGTTTTGGCATAAATTACTCTATCTTGTCATCTATGAGCAAAACGTGTACGTTATTCAGGCTCGGAAATACTGAGACCTACATTTAATAATCTTACGAACTGAAAAACTTTTTTTTTTTCAAATAGAATGACCCATATTAATTGTCATGGGTGAATGCAAAATTAAATGCCCTTTCGACTGATATAAGTTTGTCCCTGCTTATCTCTAACAGTTTTCCAGAAAAATCAGGTCAAAAAAGAACCTGATTTTCCAGGAAAACTGTTAGAGATAAGCAGGGACAAACTTATATCAGTCGAAAGGGCATTCAATTTTGCATTCACCCATGACAATTAATATGGGTCATTCCATTTGAAAAAAAAGTTTTTCAACTCGTAAGATTATTAAATGTAGGTCTCAGTATTTCCGAGTCTGAATAACGTACACGTTTTGCTCACAGATGACAAGATAGAAAAATGTAATACAGAAACTTGACCCTTATGCTCATCGACCAACATAAATGCGACATTTTTGACAGAACACAGCACAGAATTTGATTTTATTTTTTCTCCCTTGAAAGAAATATTTACGAACTTTTATTTACCATGCACTAAATACGGGGTGATTTACCTTAACATGCGGATAATTATTCAGTAGGCTGTCACCACCAAAAATAGTCAAAAAAAAAGTAAAATTAAAAAAAGATGTCAAAAAAAATTTACCTTATGCGCCACACCATATTCTGTGTTAGCCCCAACCGCTGACTAATAACACGAGTACTTATTGAGGGATTTTCTTCCAGTAGTTGCAGAACTTCTTCATCAGCTCTAACAGGACGGTTTACTGCACGTTCCCTGTGCCTTGGTAAACAAGATCCGGTGTCTCGGACACGTTGTATTGCGCCAAAAATCGTTCTTTCGTTTGGCTGGCGCCTGTCGGGAAACTTCCTCTTGTACTCTCGTACACACTTCGCAAGATTTTCATTCACTGCACCATATGTCAATATC